CTAGGACGTCCTGTCAGAATAATGTTCATTCTTTAAAGTGGTGGCTATGAAAACATAAATAAATAAACAAATAATAAATAAATAAGATTATAAATGTCAGTGGTGGATTTTTTTTCTTTTATAATTCAAGTGAGGAAAACGAGTTCTGACTACTGTGTGTGCTTATCAGTTATTGTAGTAGAATAAAGATAGACATGATAGTCTGGTTATTTAATGAGGATAATGAGAATTCCAAAGGCATCTATGGGTAAATTTTTCTTACTGAGAAGGTGTATAGTCTTAGAGCCTTGAAAATAATTACTGGCCCCCTCCATCAATGTCTAGGCTTAAATAGACTAATACTAAAGATCTAAATATTGGAGGTTTTTTCTTCTTATGATATTTTCCTATGGAGATGATGATCTAAATATAGTTTCTTCAAGAAGACATTTGTTTCTATTCCCTTACAATGATTTATTAGAGGAGCTTTATTCTCCATGTATCTCTGCATTTCCTTGTATTTGAACTTGGGAAACAAAAGGGAGTGTCCCTAAGTGTCTGGCAACTCATGCTAATGACTGTCAGACAGTCTAAAGTACATTTTTGGGGGCATGTTTTTATGGACTGGTTATCAGAAGACCACTTTCAAAGGTCCTTTTTGAATAAAGGATGAAGGAATACAGATTATTTTCTTTTTCTTCAAACACTAAAGGGAGAACAGGTTTTAGATCAAGGCAATAAACAAAAACAAAAAATTCAAGTGGTTCTTTGAATTGACTCTTTACAATATCTACATAAATTCCATAAAGCACACTAATTAAACTCACCTAACTAAAAGAAAATGGTCACATTTTATGATAATACCATATAAAATTTATATCTATAAATACTGTACAGAGGTTTTTATTAAGATGTTTCCCTGTATATATCTTTAAAGAATGGATAAAACATCTAAACATATAATAAACACATGGAGTATATTAATTTCATAGAATCCTGAAATGCTGGGACCAGCAGTTGGCATAATGGCTACGTCCCTGGACTCCCATGTAGTTGACCATGGTTCAAGTCCTAGATCCAAGTGTGCATGCATGCCCAAGATCCCAAGAGAAGAATGGAGGAGACGGGATTGTGGTGTGGCCATACCCCTGGGGAGTGATTTCTCACTTTCTGTCTCTCTGTCTCTCTCTCTTTCTGGCAAGTTCACGCACTGTATAGCAAACACCTCTTAAAAAAAAGAAAAAAGAAAAAAAAAAGAATCCTCAAATGCACTATTCCTCTTGCAATCTTATTTTCACCAATGTATTTAAATTCTTGCCAATCCCTTTGACTATGATATAAGAGTCATCTATTTTTCCAATTATGTCCTTACTTTTTCTGATTGTGCTTTTGAGAAGCTTCATAAAAATATCTGTGTGTTATAGCCAGTCAGTCAATTTTCTGAATTTGGTTCTACCATGAAATTTGACATTTACATTAAATACCTTATTTAAAACTTGCTATCTCATTCATTTGAAGCCAACTCTACCAACATATATCTGTGTGTGTTTTATATTTACAATTTGAGTATATGTGTATGTGATTCCTCAATCTACTTTATGGTCATTGGCTCTTATTTCTAAATTAGCATAAACCCAGAATACAAAACAGAGAAGAAAAAGACATTTTACAAAAGGCAGAAGTGAGAGTAATAGACATGATTCATCGCATCATTTGACATTAATCATCTGTCAGACATAAAGACAGCCATACCCTACCAAAAGAGAACATTTTTCTTTTAGACCTATCCATTTTGACTAGAAAAAAAGTAATACTCAACAGCTCAATTAGCTGCTAGTGGTCTCTACCCTTTTTCTAATGCTTGGCTGGAAATTTCACCAGTAACCTAAATGACCATTTAGAACTCTAGATTTGTTTTAATCCCTCCTAAAATTCCTCTCTGGAATTGATGTGACACAAGGAAGGGATAGAACACTTAAGGAGGACATTGGTCAGCATTATGAGAGAGAAGCAGAAGTCTTCTCCTCAGTGAGCCACCAGTACTCAGAGGCATTAACCAGATACTCTGCATTGTTAGAAGTCTTGCTAATGCCCTAGATAAGATCATGAACGTATTTGATTCCCTTGATATCTAAATTACACAAGATCTGGGATGATTCCAAAAATGCTTCACCAAAATAATTTTATTTTATAATTTTATTTCTTGGCAAAGATTTTTTTTAAGCTGCGTCAAAAGTATTCTCAGGTTGGGTAAATTCAACTTATAAGCCAAGTAATATAAAGTGATTAAATGAATACAATTTTTTTAAAAAGTAAAAAAGGAATACTAATGGGACACCAGAAATCGGGGGTAGGGGGAGTATTCTCAGGTTCTTAAAAACCATACCAAGAAAGTTCATCAAGCTGGAAATCTCATGCAGGATCTTTACTTTAACATCAATAATTAAGTTGATGAGAATAGTAAAAAAGCCTTCAGTAGAGCTTCCTAAAAAATATCTCCAAGTCAGTCTATAATACTTACGCTGAGAAAATCAAAGGTGATTGTCTCTACTTTAAAGAACTTGTTAGATTTTTCTAAAATGGAGTGACAAGAAAATAGGTCCCCACACTCTTGAGTTAAATTTTTAATTTTCTATTTCAAAACCAGAAAGAGAGAGAAGAAATGAGAAGGGTTGTCATCAATTTCATTTTGGTGCTTTTTCTTCTAATTAAAAAAAAATAATAATAACCTTTGTGCTAGTTTTCAGTGGGAAAGAAAAATCTAGGACTAAGATCTATGTGGATATTAATTATATTTTTTACTCAATAAAGAGGTCATTCAGAAGTAATAGCCTCAGCTCTGTTCGGTTCATAGGATATAATCTTCTCCTCAGAATCAAGAAAGATGCTGGGTCTGAGGTCCTTGGCACCTAATGTTTTCCTAAAGCACCTGGATTTTATTTGGATTACCATAAGTATCTTTAATTAATAAAGCAAAGAATAGTCAATAATACAAGATTATACGTTATACCGTACCTCAATAACAGCCAGTCCAAACGCTATTGCAATAATTACAATAATATGTTTTGCAGCTACTTCTTTTATGAAAGAAATGCATGGCTGTCGAGAAAACAAAACATAAAAAGATAATAAAATTTTGATCTAGTTAATCAACATTTTTATTCATTTGGTTGGCTTTTTACATTGCTGCTAAAGAATACACTTGACAAAAAATGAATGTATTTATTCCCTTTTCTCCTTGCTTCATCCCTGCTCCAAAATGTTATAACTGCTGTGGTTTTGTCATACTTTAAATAGCACTTAAGAAGAAAACTTTTGCTCAACTACCTAATTGCTGAATTCAGGAATATTCAAACATACATAATAATTTCACCAACATCTCCCCAAGTTATAAAGCATTTAAGAAGCAAAATCTTGCTTCAACCACCCAATTACTAAAACTGTAGATTAAAAATTAAAAATAATGATTTTTACCAACATATTCCCAAATTATAAAATTTATAATTTATAAAATTATGAATAATAATTTTATCCTTACTTCAGATTATTTATTTTGGAACTAATATCATCTTGACTATAGATTTTTTTTCGTTTATAAAGTGTAACAGAGAGGTTCTTGTTCAAAGTTCTAGCTAATTATATTAAAAAATTTTATTTTTAAAGGCAAAGTATTTAAAAATCCTTTACCAATATTTATCAAAGTTATTTCAAAAGAAAATGCCATTATGCTTATCATTATGCTATTATTTTAGATTAAAGAGAATTCAGGAAGTTGCTTCTCTACTACATTTTTTGAAATTTATTTTAACCAGCATGTAATTCCAAGCTTAAAATATTTCAGACCAGACCTAAA